GCTGCTGCTCCTTGAGCTGCAGCAGCATCGGCTTTTCTCTTTATAGGCGCAGCGCGCTTAGCAGCAGCAGAGAGGGTCTGGCAGCGCAGCAGCAGGCTCAGCAGCAACTTGAATCCGAAGGGTTTTCTTAACCCCCCCTGCTGCGGGCGGGGGCCCCTTCCCCGCAGCCCCTGCACACAAACCCTAAACCCTAAACCCTAGACCATAATAAACCCTCATAAACCCTCATAAACCCTAATAAACCCTAAACCCTCGTAAACCCTCAAGAAGGCCTTCATACTGCGACAAACCCCAAACCCTCAAGACCCACACAAACCCTCGAGTTGCCTTCTGTGTGTACACAACCTACGGCCTAGGGTTTAGGGTTTAGGGTCTAGGGTTTAGGGTTTAGGGTTTATTAGGGTTTAGGGTTTACCTCTGAGAGCAGCCGCGAGGCCCCCCCTCGCCGCCTGGCCTTTCCCTCGACTTATTTGGATGCCGCTCGGCGTCACCGTTCCCCCTACACACATAAACCCTAAACCCTAAACCCTAAACCCTAACCCCTAAACAAATAAACCCTAAACCCTAAACTCTAGACCCTAAACCCTAAACCCTAACCAAATAAATCCTAAACCCGAAACCCTAAACCCTGAGTCTTCGATTTGAGTGCCTGGACCGGTTGCGCTCCTTGACAAACCCTAAACCCTAATAAACCCTAATAAACCCTCATAAACCCTCATAAACCCTCATAAACCCTCATAAACCCTAATAAGCCCTCATAAACCCTCATAAACCCCAATAAACCCTCATAAACCCTAATAAACCCTCATAAACCCTCACAAACCCTTATAAACCCTCATAAACCCTCATAAACCCCAATAAACCCTAACCCCTAGCCCCTGCTTGTGTTCCGTGTATGTGTTCCAGGTTTACCGTCAAGTGGCGAGGGTTTGGCGGAGGTTTTAGGGTTTAGGGTTTGTGTTTCTTGTTGAATCATGGCGGGTAGTACGATGGCGTGAAAGACTGCAGGGTTTGGTAGCATGAGGGGTTTACCTCTAAACCCTAGAATAGGGTTTAGGGTTTGATCGTCAACAAGGGGGAGAAACAAATGTATATCTGGCGGTATTCTATCCTCTGTATTATAAACATCTCCTTCTGGGGTCACCTGGGGTGTATGTACACCCCAAGAAGAAAACAAAGCAGCAGCAGCAGCACTAACCTCAGCCTGCGGCTCCCCTTCTCTTATATTTATAAACCCTCCCTCTACCCTAGGTAAATTTATTATAGGCAGCAGCGGCCTATCCACACACAAAGACTGCTGAAACTCGTGCGCTGCGGCCAGCTCCAGGGTGTCGGGACCTGATACACAAACCCTAAACCCTCGTAAACCCTCGTAAACCCTCGGAAACCCTCGAAGAACTCGTAAACACTCGTAAACCCTCGTAAAACCTAAGAAATGTATGGTTTATGGTGCATTAGTTTTTAGGGTTTATAGTATACGGTTTAGGGTTTAAGGTTTAGAATTTATGGTTTAGGGTTTAGGGTTTACAGTATAGGGTTCAGGGTTTAGGGTTTAGGGTTTACAGTATAGCGTTCAGGGTTTAGAATTTAGAATTTAGGATTTAGGATTTAGGGTTTACAGTATAGGGTTTATTGTTTAGAAATTATGGATTAGGGTTTAGGGTTTATGCTTTAGGGTTTACAGTATAGGGTCGAGGGTTTAGGGTTTAGGGTTTACAGCATAGAGTTCACAGCTTTTGGTTCAGAATCTAGGGTTTAGAATCTAGGGTTTAGTGTTTCCAGTACAGAGCCAAGGGTTTAGGGTTTAGCGTTCCCAGTACATTGCCAAGGGTTTAGGGTTTAGGGTTTAGGGTTTAGGGTTTAGGGTTTACCGGTGACGACGACGGAGACATAGGGCAATACAGCGCATGAAGGGATCATCATAGACCGCCATTCTTCTCCATAGAGGGTTTTCTTTCTGGCGATAGAATAAAAAGGGTTTTGGGTTTTGTTATATTTAAACCCTAATAANAAACCCTAAACCCTAAACCCTAAACCCTAAACCCTAGATTGTCTTTTGTTTATTGTACGCAAATATATGTGCAGACGGAAAACCAATATATAAAACCTAAACACTAAACCATAAACCCTTCTAAACACCATCATGTCAGTACTAACTACCCACCCCTAAACCCCAAACCCTAAACCCTAAACCCTAACCCCCCAAACCCCAAACCCTAAACCCTAACCCCCGAAACCCTAAACCCTAACCCCCTAAACCCTACACCCTAACCCCCCAAACCCTAAACCCTAACCCCCCAAACCCTAAACCCTAAACCCTAAACCCTAAACCCTAAACCCTAAACCCTAAACCCTACCTTTTGCAGTTTGTTGTCTTTTGAAGGCCTCAAGCGAAGGAGCGAATTCATGCTGGAGAGAAGAGGGAAGGGCCCCCAGTTTATTTATTTCTTTTTTTCTTATCTCCTCGATGTTATATAAAGGCAGTAAACCCTCATCGTCAAACCCTAAACCCTCCTTTCTATATACAGCCTTCTTTAGATCCGCCTCCAGCTGATCATGCATACACCATGCTACAAACCCTAAACCCTAAACCCTAAACCCTAAACCCTAAACCCTAAACGATAAAACCCTAAACCCTAAACCCTAAACCCTAATTTCTGTAAAAAGTATCGCCAGAGGGTATAACTAAGTATCGTCATCATCATCCTCCCCTCGACACTAAATAAGGGTTTAGGGTTTAGGGTTTAGGGTTTAGGGTTTACCATAAGGAGCAGCTGCTGCACTGTGAGGGTATCGGGGTGCCTAAACCCTAAACCCTTGCAGCGAAAAGTATAAACCTCTCTATACGCCTCCAGGGCCTCTCTCAGTCTCCCCCCCTGGTGTTGTATACACCCCAGAGCCAGCACCAAATCCTATACACAAACCCTAAACCCTAAACCCTAAACCCTAAACCCTAAACCCTAGAGATAATATATCACAAACCCTAAACCCTAAACCCTCGATAAAAGTAGAAAAAAAATCAGAATTTTTTTCTTAACATTCAGTGGCATTCATCTTCACGCATAAGACACACGCATGAAACCCCAAACCCTAAACCCTAAACCCTAAACCCTAAACCCTAAACCCTAAACCCTAAACCCTCACTTGTACTGGCTCGCACTCGCGGGTTTGGTGGATGCGCATGCGCATATCCAGCGCAGTCAGCAGATGGGGGAAAGCATCGGCGGGCCTCCCTGAACCCTCAAAACCCTAAACCCTAAACCCTAAACCCTAAACCCTAAACCCTCGATCCACCAACTGTATAAAACCTAGTCGAGTCTATTCCGTTTAGGACATATTGCAAATGAGAGAGTGCTGGTGTGAGGGTTTGAGCGTTTTTTAGGGTTTAGGGTTTAGGGTTTAAGGGTCATTTAAGGTTTAGGGTTTAGGGTTTAAGGGCCTTTAAGGGTTTATAGTTTACGGGGTTTTTAGGGTTTAGGGTTTAGGTTCAGTTTATGTTCGTCGGTGTAAATATTTTTAAGGGTTTAGGGTTTAGGGTTTAGGGTTTGTGTGTTGTAAGTACCTAGAAGTCTGAGTACAAGCCCAATATTAGCGTGAACATCAGCAACCCTAGGATGAGGGTTTAGGGTTTCTGCGTCGCCTAGGGTTTGTGTTCGTTGCTGCAGCATCTCCTCCAGCAGCAGCAGCGCAGCAGCAAAATCCCGGCTCCGAAAAAAATGCAAAGCAGCAACACCCAGCGCGTCTGAAACAGCCAGAGGGTCTGAGCTGTATATGCGGCGGCAGAGAGAAACATAACTAAAAAAAAAACAAAAAAAAATAAATAAATTAATAAATAAATATATATGTGGGGTTTTATATTTTTAGGTGGAAGCGGGAAGGGGTTCGGATTGGTGAGGGTTTACGCCTGGGGGAGAGGGTTTAGGGTTTTCTCTTTTCAATCAACCCAAGGGTTTAGGGTTTATGAGGGTTTAGGGTTTATGAGGGTTTAGGGTTTATGAGGGTTTAGGGTTTATGAGGGTTTAGGGTTTATGAGGGTTTAGGGTTTACTGTTGAAAGTATGTTGCTGCTAGCTGCGGCAGTCTATAAAGGCTACACAAATCCGCGAGGGAGCAGACGATGGAGGCGAGCACGTGCGGCTCGCAAGAAATACAGGGCCCCTGCGTAAACCCTAAACCCTAAACCCTAAACCCTAGATTTAGGTCCTGGATGTTATGGGTATGAGGGTTGCTGGTTGGTTGCTGCTACTGGGTTTATGCCGTGTAAGTATCTGTCTCTGTTGTTTCAGGGTTTGCTGTTAGGGTTTATGAGGGTTTATGAGGGTTTACGAGGGTTTATGAGGGTTTACGAGGGTTTGGGGTGTACGTACAGTTGCGGCCTGCGGCGCTGCTCCTTTTGCTGCTGCTGCTGCTCCTGCTGCTGCTGCTGCTCCTCCTGCTGCTGCTGCTGCTGCTGCTTTGTTTAAGGAGTTTTCTACGAGCAGCCGCAGCTCATCGAGGTAAACCCTACCCTCAACCACCGACCCCACCAAACCACAACACTTGGCTAGCAGCAACAACTCCGGTACCTGCACAAACCCTAAACCCTAAACCCTAAACCCTAAACCCTAAACCCTAGACATTAAGGAAGGTATATAAAACCAAGGAAGAAATGCAACCATGCTAAGATACACAACCCAATACACCTAAACCCTAAACCCTAGACCCTAAACCCTAAACCCTAAACCCTAAACCCTAAACCCTCAGAGCCTTGCAACTGACCATCTCCCCCTGCAGCGGTTCCTTTCCGCAGATCAAATAAAATTTCTTCGCCAGAAGATAAGAATACAAAGCCTAACAACAAAACCCCCCAGCACACAAAAAAGGGTTTAGGGTTTACGAGGGTTTAGGGTTTAGGGTTTTGCGTGTTCAGCTGTAGCCGCCCGCAGCAACTGCTAACACTTGGATTCAATGCGAGCGGTTTTGTCGCATACACACATCAACCGTCTAGGGTTTAGGGTTTAG